CGATCTAAAAAAAAAAAAACCCCTAGGCCTGTCCCTTTGCCTGCCATCCCTTGTCTAAATCTATTCTTATGTTTCCCTTATATTGGAAAATCAGACTATTTTAGAACCAAGTATCATCAAAATATAGAGTGCCAATACAAATTTTAGAATAACACATGAGTAATTAAACAGTCACCTATTCATGTGATAAGGATGAGGAAACAATTGAGGGGTGCAATAACATTCTTGGGGTCTTTTTCATACTTTATCAAAGGTCTCCGATTCGAAACATAGAGCATGTGGCCGTCCAATATGTTAAATCTGCTTATACAATCTAATTTTTTTTTTGCGTGTTTATTATTTATATTTTAAATTCCTTTAGTGAAAATAAATATTGAAAAAATAATATTGTGTAGATTCTATAAAATAATACTGTCTAATATATGTACGTATGTGTATATAATTTATGTATGTTATATACAAAAAAATATAAATTTATATACTTTTATGGACGAAATTCAAAAATAGCCGGATTTACAAGTGGTAATTAAAAAATAGCCAAAGTTTCAAAAGTAATCGAAATTTAGCCACTTTTCATGTAAAGATAAATTTGAACGAAGACACTATTCAAAATCCGAAAAAATATTCCAACATAATATACTGGAGTTCCAGTATATTCTACTGAAACTCTAGTATATTCTTACACAAATGCTCCAATTTCCAGTATATTATGCTGGAACTTTCCGCGTGTTGGAGTTCCAGCATAATATGCTGGAAGTTCATACACATGTGCACCACTATCCAGTATATTATGCTGGACCGGTGTGTGTTACAGCAAAATAGTGGCTATTTTTTAATGACTTTGCAAACGCTGACTATTTTTGAATTACCAATCCGAAAACTGACTAGCCGGTGCTATATTTACTACTTTTAAAGATACTGAATATAAATAATTTTGGCCCCAAGCTAAAAGTGATATTTGCCCCCAAAATATTGGTTCCGGTTTAAACTCTAAACAAGAAAAGTAGGTTGGTGGGTATAAAAGGAAATTCAAAAAAGCAAAGCATATATCCCCTCCTCTCATGCTTTTGCCGCGTACACATGAATTGTCATCAGATTGTTGCTTTTTATTCTTTAGGTATTTGATACAAACCACTAACTAGTCTTCTGCTTCTAGTTCTAACACATAAATCTCAAATCAAAATTCCAACAATTAACATAAGCAAAAAATCCCTACTATAGAAAGAGGCCTAGCCATCTCACTCTCTCTTTACTCTTTTCTATCTTCACCTACATTCGTTCTTCTCTACCCAAGAACCGCTAACAGGTATACTCCACCCCCCCCCCCCCCCCACCCAAACACCCATTTCCATTTTGTTTTCTGCTTTTTGTGCTTTATATATTCATAACTTTGAGTAGAATCTGATGCTGCAATTGTTTTTAAATTCCAAAATTAGGGGTTTGTAAGTTATTGTTTCCACATCAAGATCGTGTAGCTTTCTTGGGGTTTAGTAGAATCCAGTTTTCTTGCTCATTTTGAAGGTTTTAGTACTTGGGTACTCGTTCATTACTGATTTGGGTTTTTTTTTGGAAAATTTGTTTGTGTCATAATTGGGCTCCTTTTGGTGCTTGTGAGAAATACTTGATTTTGACTAGAAATTAGTGTTTGAATTTTAGTACTGCGTTTTATTGGAGGCAGATCCATGATTTGAACTTTATGGTTCTGGATTCTAGGACAACTACCTCGATTGTTAGTAACTGAATTTAATTTTTGTACATATTTAATAAATTTCTTAACATGTCATATACACGATTTGGGCCGAAGCTGCTAGGTTCTGCCGAACCCATATCTTAAAAGCCTACATCCGCCCCTACGGTTGATGGTGAATTTTGGGTTTTGTGGTCTTTTTTCCGCTTGAGGTATTGGTTTTCTAACAGGAAATTAATACCGATATCTTGTTTGTTACTTTTGGCTTAGGTTTTGTGCTGGGTATGTATTTTAAGAGAAATTGAGAACATAATAGGATTTTTAGAGCCAAGTATATTTACTTGTTGGTTTTTGCAGGTGAGAAGTTGAGGGTATTGTTCTGTTTGATTGGATGAGGAAGCTTTCGAAGAGGGGTGCGTGCAAGTCCGCATCGCACCAGCTCTTCAAGGACAGGGCAAAGAACCGTGTCGATGATCTGCAAGGTGTGTTAACTAATCTACAATCTGCAAGGAAGGAAAGCCGAAGTTATGATGTTGGGTTGCTTGAAGAGCAAGTCCACCAAATGCTGCGTGAATGGAAAGCTGAGCTCAATGAGCCATCCCCGGCTTCTTCTTTGCAGGCAAGAACAAATACTTATGCCCTTTTATGTCCTAGTACCCCAAGAGTTTTTACACTTTTGTACCTGTCCATTGTGCGCACATTACAATCACAATAACGATGCCTCTCTCCTAAACGAGTTGGGTCGGCTATATGAATCCTCACTGACCATATCTCTTCATTTAAATTCATCGTAGGCAACATTTTACAAAATAAAAACAAAAATAAAATATACTAGAAGTTCTCATTATTTTACTCTTATACAGGTGTGTGCATCGCCAAGAAATTCTTCTTGCATGTTGACATATCTTCTTATATGTAAGCTTGTGTTTTTAATCTGGGTGGGCATAAAATCCGAAAAATCGAATTCCGAACCGGACCGAATTAATTCGGTATTTCGGTATCGGTTTATTCGGTATTTCGGTATAATTCAGTCCTACACTACCCATCGGCCTAGCCCAAAATTTTAAACGCCTAACCCAATAAGACTAAGCCCAGTCCCTTACTATCTTTCCGTTGTTTCCCAGCCTAACCCAATCTGGCGTCTGTTTAGTGCTGCCTCAAAGCAGCTCAGCTTGCGAATGGAGATGAAAATCGTTCTCTTAATCAGAACTAAGAACTTGTGCTTCGAAAACTTTCTCAACTGGAGCAATATATGTTACTCTTAATTAAGATTTGGTTCGCTTTATGACAAGCTTTCTCTGCCCAAGCCCAACTGTTTGCTAGTGCAATGAAATGATAAGTTTTTTCAACTATATATATGCGGTTTCCAAGGCCAGTGCCACTTCTTGTCACGTTAGATGGAGACGGTGCGATACCGAAACTGTACCGAACCAAACAAGAAAGTACCGAACCGTACCGAACTACTTTGGTACGGTATTTGGTATGCACAATTGATATACCAAACCATAATTCATAAATACCGTACCGAAGTACCGAACGCCCCTATTTTTAATGATGTTGTATCTTGACGCATGCTTGAGCACATGGTTATAGAAAATTTAGGTTTATAACAAGTTGCAAATCAGTCTTACTGTGTTAATCAAAAGACAGTATTTATGAGTATAGTAGGCTATGTGTGAACTTATGTTTCCTGTCTTCGTTTTTGGTAGATTCGTTAATGTAAATGTAATATTGTTAAGTAGGCTTCTGTCTTCAAGTATTGGTGGTGTAGAGATATACAATTACGGGTTTTACATTCATGGGGGACTCTGCAGGGAGGAAGCCTTGTTTCATCATCGGACATCTATAGACTGTTACTTGGTGAGGAAGAAGATGATGCGACCAGTGCATTAGCTGCGCCTAAGCCTGAGCCTGATGCTCAAAAAGTTAGTGTTACTGATTTTCAAGAGGTATGCATTTTACTTGTAATTTCATCTTGTGCAATTTGTTTTGGTTCTTGGATGCTTCTCCAGATTGCTCTTAGTATATATGTTAAAAAGTTTCCCAGCAGTAGCTGGTTTTTTCTTCCATGCCATTTTGATTTAAGGAGTTTCACCACCTCACTAGATATCACTTAGAGCCACATTGTGCTTCGGTTGATATATCCAGCTAATCTAGGATTTGGAAATCCTTTCCTCCATATATATCAATCAACTATATTTCAACCCAAACTAGTCAGTCTCCTGTATGATTCCTCTATATCCATTATGCACTATTCAGTTTCTTTCTAGTACTAAAAAACTTGTCTTTTAAGGCAACTTGGACACTGAGAAACTAGGGTTTTTCTAAATCTCGCACTTATCCTACACTGAGTTGGCAAAACCGGGTGCAATTTAAGTGTAACAATCAGTGTTTTTATACGCGAAAAACGCACAAAGCTACATGTTTCTTTGGGTTTGACATGAAAAGTAAAGTGCATGCATTTTTGAAGTAAAACGCACAAGTTATGAGATTTAAAAACATCAAAACTCATATGTATTTAGTACCATAATAATCAAATTGCTATTTACATAACTAATTTCAGCATTCAATGTATTATAATATAGATATTAAACCAACTTCTCAAAGTTGAGATTTAAAGAATCAATCGCTTCTTACTGGGACCACTTTACGTCTCATTGTCTGAAATGCATACTTCTTTGATGTGTAGCTTCATTGATGAAGCGATAACCCTTTGCTTCGCTTCATCGCTTTAAGTGACAAGGCGATGGCTTTTAATTACATTGCTACCAATAACTAATCCTTAATTTCAACTTGTTGGTATTGCCTATATTTGTGTTGCGTTGTGGTGTTTAGGTGAGTTTGCATTGCTTCTAAGCGATTGTGGGTCTTTTAACACAATATTCCTTCATATGATTTTTGGTCTATCTCGTCATCCATAGCATGTTTAATCATCATAGTGTCACGCTTACAAACCAGCGGATAATGGATATGATACTTTTGTAATCTTGTCCTTTTTCTTATGTCTGGACTTCCATCTTAACATTTGTATTTTTAAAATGCTCATCTTGGAGATATGTGGGCGCTCTAAGACCCGACATTCCCTCGTAAGTAAAATTGCTGGTCTTGTAGCCCTTCTATAGATGTCTGTCTTGACTGTTATCTTGCTTGAAGCTCTCTTAATGCTGTTGTCAGTCCAATCTTTTCTGATCTTTCCCCGTAACCATTATCCTCTACTTCATGTTTTTCATTTATGTAAATAGACTCCTGACCCTCTTTTCAGATAGTTTTTCTTGTTTTTCTCCTTTGTTGGTTGATATCTAAGAAGTTAAGATTAGGCTTTTTGCAATTTTTGGTTTTTCTGCTAGTTTAGCAAGCCTGTTAAGGTGATCAATTAAATCTTACCTGTTAAGCAATTTGTTTGCTGTAGGGTTTCAATGCAACTCAGGTGCTGCATGAGCAAGGTTTCCAGTTGGTTGATCAATGCAAAGGCTTGCCTTCAGTGGTTAACAGTGCGGGAATTAACAATCTTGGCATTGCAACCCAATTGGATTACCATTCCTTTGATTTGCATCAAGAATACGATCAGCAGTACTTACCTGGATTTGATGCTCTAAATCTTTGCCTAGAGGATGCTTTGCCTCCTATTCATATTAGTCCTCCAGCCTCTGCTTTCCTGGGGCCGAAATGTGCACTCTGGGATTGCCCCCGACCTGCAATGGGGTCAGACTGGTGTCAGAAATCTCAAGACTACTGCAGTGACTATCATGCTTCTCTTGCACCTAATGAAGGTTATCTCGGCAGGCCTCCAGTTGTTCGGCCAATGGGTATTGGCTTAAAAGATAACTTGCTTTTTCAAGCTCTTGGTGCAAAAGCACATGGAAAAGATGTTGGTGTTCCTGAGTGCGAGGGTGCTGCCACGGCAAAGTCCCCCTGGAATGCACCCGGTAAGAGTTTTGTGGCATTTCTTTATTCTCATAGCCGGATTTTCTTTATTTGTTAAATCTGATATCTGTTGGTTTGCTTATGCTTCTGCAGAGCTCTTTGATCTGAAAGTTGTTGAAGGTGAAACAATTAGGGAGTGGCTTTTCTTTGATAAGCCTCGACGAGCGTTTGAAAGTGGAAACAGAAAGCAGAGGTCATTGCCGGATTATAATGGACGGGGTTGGCATGAGTCAAGGAAGCAAATGATGAATGAATTTGGAGGGCTGAAAAGGTCCTACTACATGGATCCACAACCGATGAAAAATCTGGAATGGCATCTTTACGAGTATGAGATTAACAAGTACGATGCATGTGCCTTGTACAGATTGGAACTGAAACTTGTTGATGGGAAAAAAATCCCCAAAGGGAAGGTAACCAATGTATCTGTTTCTGATTTGCAAAAGCAAATGGGAAGACTTACTGCTGAATTTCCTTTGGACAACAAGCGAACTGTTAAGGGCAGATCAAAGGCTGCTAGTTTGAAGAATGTGGGAAACATTCAAGCTGCTCCAATTCCAATGGTTCTAACTTGTGAAGGGTTTGATTATGGGACCGGCGAATCTTATGACTATCTTGTAGACGATTTGGATGGCTACTTCATTACCTAATTAGATGCATGCATCGATGCTTTTCAAACAAGAGGCTTTTCGCCTGTGTATTATACACCAGTTTTATCTTAGACTCAAAAATCATGTTGGTGGGCAAGTTGCTCGGCTTCTGCTTACTTATTTAGTCAGGGCTAACGGGATGCCTCCCATTTCCATGGGCTTGTGGTCAATTTTTCATTGTCATCTGAGACGCGGTCTCATCTAATTATGGAGCACATTTTACTGCTTGAAAATGAAAACCCAATTTACTTGGTATTCTCATTTACATATTTTGGAGCCAAGTTGACACTAAATGTATTGATGTTATATTGTCAGACTTGGTGACCACATGTAAATGGTAATTTGTAATTGTCATTTTCTTCAAGATCTGCTGCTATTTTACATGGTTACATTGTAGGTATGATTAAATGCATGGTTTGAGGCTCTATTTGGTGTAAAACATTATTTGAAGCCCAATCAGGCAATCAGATACATGTTCTTATGTACTTTTTTGGTAACTATGTTCTTGTAGGCCTACACTCAAGTAGAAGACAATTCGTTTCCTTTTTCTTCTGAAAACAAGATTGATATCTAGATTTTAAATTCTAATCTTAATCCATCTAGATTTGATTTTAAGTGTATCTATCTTGAATGGTTATTTGATTAGCTTTATAACCATGTTCAGCATAAGAGTTTGGTCTAATCTTAGTCCTTGTATTGGACTTTTTTTGTCCTTGTATAGGACTTTGGCAGTGCATAAGCTCGTTTGGTTGCTGGTTAGAGTTATGTAGGGATTAATAATGCATGGATTAGTTATGCAGGATTTTGTTATGCATGGTTTAATTATGAAGGGATTAGTTGTGTAAAGATTAGTAATGCATGGTTTACGAATTTATAGATTGTAATGTAGAGATTATTTTTGTTAAATATTTACTTTATTTTAATTATAAAAGTTGTAGTTTAAAATAAATATGAGGGTTTTTTTGGTCATTTGATTGCTTAATCCATACATTACTAATACATATATTAGTTATTTCACATTCTACTTTGCATAAATAATACATTTTGTCGTAACTTATCCATGTATTACTTATACCCCCAATGGAAAAAGCAACCAAACATTACATTAGTTATGATGGCTTTTGTACAAAGTAACTAAAAACTACTAAATATGGTATTGGTTATGTTACTCCTAATAAATGAATAATTTACCCTGTTAATACTACTGCTAAATGATTGCAAAAGTTTGATTTTAGGGTCAGTCGGGACACTTAATATGCTAGCATTTCTTGCAAATTTCCTTCAATACACTCCCTTCATTATTTGTTAAGCCTGTTGTTCAAAGACATAGGGGAATCGTACTATAAGCTAAAGGGAACTTTACATAACTGTCACAATTTAAAAGAAATATAATAAATTCTTAATATATATATACAATATATATATATATATATATATATAGACGTTATAAATACACATCCAAAAGAAGGCATCTTAAAATGGCACTTGACTATACAAAAGAAGAATTAAGATGGCATATAAATATATGCCATCTTATATCTTAAAATATATCTTAAAATATAATTAAGATGACATATAAATATACAAAAGAAGAAATATATATACGTTAATCCAAAAGAAATATAATTAAGATGGCATATAAATATACAATATATATATATATCCTGAATTAAAATGGCACTTGACATATAAAATATATTTAAAATATACATTAAAAATACATCTTAAAATAAGATGGCACTTCACAAATAAATATACAAAAATTATATACATAAAAATATATTTTGAATTAAAGTGATACTTGATATACAAAGTATAAAAGACGTATAAATCAATACATCTTGAATTTAGGTGGCATTCACATATGAATTAGATTTTCAAAAATGGAGTGAAGAGATAAATGTTGGAAAGGGAGAATGGAGATGGACAAAAAAAATATTCTCGTGATTAGTGAGTCAGTTAACTTATTAAATGTTGACCATCATTTTTATATTATGCTAATAATGAAAAAAAAGTACTCTTTATGGAATAAATAATAAATGATGCTATTTTAAAAAAAAATAATAGTTAAAAAAGGATCAAGCGTGTATAAAAACTCAATAATGGTAATTTCTCGTTTCAAAAGGACATGTTATGTTGTTACATTCTTGGCGCATATTTGCTGTGGAAAAAGCTGTAACCTCTTAAAGTTAGATATGGTTAACATGCAACAAAACAATCCCAGATTTGAACAGATTACCCTGTAATCATTGGTTAAACACTGTCAACTTGTAATCACATTTCGACTTGTAAGTGAGATCGTATCCATGGCAGTGGAGTTTAATGCTTTCCTTTTTGTACCAAACTGATACGCATATTTTTAGTGGTGTTAGATATCCTCTACTTGTTTGGGACTAGGGATAGCAAACGGGCGAGTCGGGTTGGATATAAAACTGGTCGAAAATGGAGAATGCAAAAAAGAATAAATTATCCAACCCGATCTATATTCAATACATATAAAAAATGAGTTAACCAACAGATAATATGAATATGATTATTTTTTCGAGAATCCAATCTCCCAAACTTGAAGAACCCCCAATTTGAGTCTCTACAAATATAAAAGTTAAACTCATTAATTATCCATTGTTTAAATAAATAATATGAATCTTATCCATATCTGATCCATTTTTAAAAAGTTCATTAACCAACCTATTTTATGGATGGATAACTGCTTTCTTATCTANTATTGTTTCTTTAAAAAGATTATTTATTCACATATATATGGAACACTTCAAAAGAGGTATCCATTTACAGCCCTTACTAAGGGTAATGAAGGGCTTAACATGTACCTAGGCATCATGTAATAGGAGAAATAAACCTACTTAACATTAGGCTCACATCATTAAGCCAATCTCATATAGACAGCTATAATTGCAGGAGCAAAACATAAAGAAGATAGCAACTGACTCTGTTTCAAACAATTTGGACATAGAAAGCCTCTTAAATGGAGCTACTTATTGGACTCCATTAGGCCTGGATAAGTTTAGGTTCTTCTTAGGCACTGCGATGAATAATTGCCAAAATTGAAGTCAAGCTTAAAGCAGCTTTAAATCATTTCTGGCTACTCAACAGTCTGCACAATCTTGAAGCAGATCATTCATTAGGATCTAACTTGTAGGAAACATCATCTTCTTCGTAGTTGTTGACTCGTTCACACTCGTCAATCCATTCACTATATCTGAGAAGAGGAAAGAATAACAGAAGCGGATTTAGAATTCACAGTAAATCCGTGCGAAGTTAGTATAGTAGTATGTACTACTTAAAATGGTTCAACTCTATATAATTTCAAGCTGAAGGTAGCGGGGGTTGCCACAGCCACGGCTAACATACTACATCCACCACTGAAGTAATCAAAGGCAAGGTTAGGTGCACTTACATATCAATAGGCTCTGTTAGTGCTGCAAGGAGAAAAACACAAAAAAAAACTTGTTAACCAACTCAGTACATCCAAATGGAAATTTCCGACATCAATTGAATGTTTAATTTGTTAGGAAGCTATACTTGTGTATGCAGGTGAGCAGGTCTTAAATGAGACATTAAACGGGTAAAGATTAAGACAAATGCAGGCAAAGGGCAACATCTTTTGTCAACATAAACTCGGCTTAACATAAGCGAATGCAATTTGCAGTTTATCTGACAGAAAGCCGATCCTTCAATTCACCTTAGGCCAAGGGGTGTCACGTGACACCACTTTGGTCGGAAAATTTTACTAAATATGTATATATAATTAAAAAGCAAAAATAAAAACGAGAATAAATAACGTGACACCACTTGGCACAAATAATTGTGTAGCTCTTTCGGCTAGGCGCCTCAGTTTTCCAGTAGAGGTTGTGGATTTGAAGCTTGGAAGCTTCATTTATTATTTCGAAATTTTTGTCCCTCATTTACAGAACAGATTACATTGTGTCGAGCAGGGTTCGAACCGTTGACCTCTTAGAAGATAACAAAACGTCTAGCCATTTGATCATGAGTCACTTTTGTGAACTCTAGTGTCAATAATTATTTAAACTAGTTGAAAAGGATGCTGCTGCTTCCATGATTAGTTGTTGTTATTCTTTTTCTTTTTGCTTTCATCTTCTTTCTTGCCAATGAAATTGATTCAGAACAATTTGTCAAATTAATAAATGAGGAACTTTTAGTGATTACTAGGTACTTTTTTTTTGATAATGCTTTATTAGGTACTTTATATAGAAAAAATAGTATTTAGTATTATTTCCAATGAGGTTATTTTTGAATACTTTTCAAAAAACAAACCGAAAAAAGTAGTAGTAATATACTTGAGTTGTGTTCTATTAATATGATTCAAAGTGTGTTCTTTTTTTATATATGATGTTGTTAGTAGTGTTTTGTTTATTTGTTCACTTCTAAAGTATGACACCGCTTACGAAAAATCCTGTTGATGCCACTGATTGAACACATCGATAAAGATTACTCTAATAAGCTAGTCGCCTAGTCCCATTTCTCTGACTAATCTTTCATGAACATTACAAGTTACGCATTGAATTTTTCAGCCCCGTGGTTTTAATCATCTAATCAAGTAACATAACAAAACATAGGCGTAAATAAATTAATAGATACACGAGAAAACAAATGTCCAGATATACCTGTGACAGTGGTGCTGAAGCTCTCTTGGCAGATCCTGCAATTTGCCTCGCCAATCAAGTTTTTCATATCACTGAATACAAGGAAGATGAACTTGTCATAAGAATGAGCCAAAAGCTACTGCAAGTTAAATTAATTGCTGGCCAAGAATGAGAAGTAATGCATGTTTTTCATGATGGGTTGAAAACTTGAAAATTTTAAAATACACCGAGAGATGCAACTCAACTCTTCCATGTAAAAACTTGCAGGTACGGCATGTATAAAGCTGGATGACGGAACTTATTACACTCCTTAGTTTTGCTGGTGGAAGAAGGGAGAAGGGGGTGACATAATTCAGCAAGACCTTTCTAAAGGACAATTTTAGGAGTTATCATCTGCATTTAACAATGTCTAAAGTGTTGAGCAGGCGGAGAGGGAAAGCTCAATCTATCCCATGCCTACACAGAAAAACAACTTGGACATGAGAATACTTTATAATTAACTTACATGCGACATTCCACGCTGGTGCCATGACTACAGAAAGGACAGCTGAAAACAGTATCAAGTTTGTCCATCCTCTTCTTTGGAGGTGGCTTTGATTTTGACTTCCTCTTTCCCATAGCTCAAGTTACTGTAAAGCGCATTGAATAACACAAGTCAGCTGCAAGAAGTCAAAAACAAATTACTAACAAGAAGTGTGGGTATTCAGCTGTTCTATATCCCATCTTAATTAATTCCATTTGATCGATTAAAACATTGAGTTTTTAAGTTTCTATAGCTCATTGCACCGAGATAGCAGCAGAAAACTAACGTAGTGCTATATTTGCAAGGAAATAGTTATATATCCAGAGTTATTTCACACATAAAACATGCCCATGCTTGTGTTTCTTCCTTACGTTTTCCCTGAAGAAAGCATAATAATGCAGCAAGATGAGAGGTCCAGCATAGAGTTATAATTGTAAGTATAATTTGCTCCATATTCCCTGAATGCAAGTTGAAAACTATACTAATTGAGACTTTGAAGAACATTCAACTTTTCAAAAATCATTCAACTTTTCAAAAATCCTACTGCAAGACATTTGAAAAAGTGCAGCAGAAGGACCTCAAATAGTTGAACTCCATTTTGAAGCCTTGTTAGAATGTCCTTTAATTAAGTCGGATGCCAGGAAATAAGCTTTCGGGAACCAAACTCCAGTAGAGAGAAAAAAAACTAGTGATTTTTTCTCATCTAGTTAAGCCTTCGTGGACAGAGTTACCCCGAAACCTGTATGGGAGGTAGCAAGTACCCGGAGGAATAGTAGAGGTGTGTGCAAGCTGCCTATCCGCTATTATCATTATAAGAAAAGAAGCTTTTGGGAACTGGACCACGACATGAAATTCCAAGCATGCGCATAAAAGTAAACAATTGATTCATAAGCTAGATAAAAAGTTTGTTCAGCAATATCAAGATGTCCTCTCTGAGCAATTTACAGCTGAAATTTGGTCATTAGTATTTAGTGAAACAGAAACAAACCAACAGATTTTTCAAGAGAAGATTTATTAGAGACAAAGGGTACTTTGGAATGACAACAAAAGGTTAATCAAACATATCAATCAACAGAGCCAGCATCTAAAGGCAGTGGATACACCTCTTAACACACACACACACACACACACACACACACACACACACACACACAGAGGAATACAGAGACACACATACGCAGAGACATCTTCACAACGCGCACACGCACGCGCGCACACACAGATTTTGCACGAACACACCCACGCGCGCGCGCGCACATAATTTTCTTTCAAGTTTTACATATACATATATGCAAGATCGACAAAATCAGTGATTATATGCAAATCGGGAGGTATAGAGAAAATTAACAAATTGGTTCTTTAGAAATCGGAAGAGAAATCAAACCTAAAATCGATTGAACAGCTGAGATAAAAATCGCCTTTTTTGTGATCTGCAAAATAAAAATTGAATCTTTATAAATTAAATCATAGAGAGATTGAAACTGAAATTCGATAAAAGGGTTATAGAGAAATTTGGAATTACCGCTATAGACTCGAAACCCTTGACCTCAACGAAGCTGAAAAGCAGCCATCAATTTATGGCATCGAAGGCCTTTTATCACAAATATATTTAATACTTTTATTTTCTTTGTTCTTTTTTTTTTCGCTACCTTTTTTGACCCTGTTTGTCAAAACTTTTTTTCCTAACCAAAAGTGTTTTTTTTCTCAAAGTTAAAGTTTTTGACCAAGCTTTTGAAGAAAAAAAATATATTTTTAATTAAAAGCAATTTTTAAGAAGCAGAAAAAAGTAGTTTATCATTTCAAATTAATTAGCCAAACACAAAATGTTTCTCTCCAAAAATATTTTTTAGAAAAACACTTTTAAAAAAAATACTTATCAAAATAAGCATATTTTAGAAACTTGGTCAAACAAGCTATAAGTGGTTTGGGAATACTATCAAAATACAAGATTTGTATTGGATGCATAATGTCATGGGCGGATCTACACTAATATGTATGGATTTTCGGGAACCCAGTAACTTTTGATCAAATTCTATATTTATATTAAAAAAATTATTAAATGTAAAATAATATTTATATGGAAACCAATTATAAAATGTTTTGCTGGTCCAGTGGTAAGGTGTGGAATCCAAATTGATTTTCCCATAACCCACAATGCAAGATCGTATCCCATCAGCATACTTTCCTTTTCCCCATATTTTTTGGCACAAAGATTTATGCACTTTCCCCAGTCACTTACGGCTCTTAACCTTTAACTTTAATTAAAATAATAATAACAAAGACTTCTCAAACTAAAAAGGACACAAGTCAACAACGACTAAAAAAGTTTTTTCTCAAACTTCTTTCTTCCAAATTCCAATTCAAACTTTCAAAGAAAAGTTAGGGTTTTATAATTTTACATTCCTTCTTTAATATGCTGGTTTTAACCTTTAGGATGCCACTCAAAGTTAAAAGCTGGTTTTAAATTCTTCTCTTGCTGCCACTCCAATGCAAGTTTGCAACACGTATTTCGATCTCCCTCCTCCTCTTCTTTTTTAATTGTTTTCCTCTAATACAATATTATGTGAAATAATATCTCTTAATTTTTTTATACCATTGTTATGACCATTTTTTGCAAAAGTAGTGTATTAATATACTTTAGTACTTATTGTTTTCTTTTTCAAAATTTTATAAATTTTAATTTTTTTATTTAACTTATGAAGTTGGGGTTCTAGATTTTATTTTTAAAAGGGGAGTGTATTTATTGCAAATAAAAAGAGTACAAGAAATTAAAGAAAAACTGATTTTTAAAGGTTAGTCACCGAAAGTTATTAAATTGCACCTTCAAATTGATTTAATTTTCTCTATGATTCCGTGGAAGTCAATACACATTTTGATATCTACCATTGTACTAAAGCTACGTAGATCTTGTCTATTATTAAGCCATTAATTAACTATAGTTTTTTCTTTCTTTGAAGTATTTTGCTCTCAAGAATTAATTAAAGTGCAAGCTTTGTAACACTAATGGAAAAAATAATATGTTGCAAAGTGATCTTTTGGTTAACATTCGTTACTGCAATATTTAATTTATTTCTTATGAATTGTAGGATATTTTAGTAAGAGTCAAGATGATCAAGAGATTCTTCGAGCCGCAAACCTCTTCAAATTCTACTCCTAGTTCTCTTTCACTAATCTCCCCTTCATGTCTAGTGGTTAATAATAATGTCAGTTATTACCAATCGTCATACAAAGATAATATGTTGGATTTGAATCTTCTTTAAACTGATCCTGGTGGAAGAAAACAAAATTTCAGAATATCCTTTGGTAGAATCTGGATGGAATTCTTTGGTAGAAGACGTCTCTTTATTTTGTGTCAACCATGATATTGTAATCCCCGAAATGGATATGAATTATTCTTGTGGAAAGTCGTAACGTAAGAAATCAAGTGTTACATATTCTTATCATTTGCGTGTAGAGGTTTTCTATACTGTTATTGATTTATAACTTTCGGAGCTTAACACTCGTTTTAGTGAAGTGAATATTGATCTACTTCTTGGTATGACTAGTTTGAGTCCAGATAATTCTTTTGCAAATTATTATAAAAACAAGATTATGAAATTTGCAACACACCATCCGAATGAGTTCACTAATTCTATGCTTGAGGATCTTGATTTTGAGCTTGACATCTATATTGACTATGTGCGAGGGGAGGGAAATGAATTCTCTAACTTGAAAAGTCTTGGCGATCTTTCAGAGACATTGGTTAAAATAAATTTGTACATGACTTGGAGACTTGTTTATTTGTTTGTGAAGTTAAGTTTGATATTGCATGTCACTACTGCAACGATAGAAAGAGCTTTTTCTTCGATGAAGTACGTTAAAAGTGACTTGCGACGCAGAATTGATGATGAATTTTTGAATGATTGTGTAGTTTGTTATATAGAGGATGAAGTATTTGAAAGTGTACCTAATGATGCGATTGTTGATCATTTTTAAAACATGACAAGTCGTCGAGTACAATTGTAATGATAATATTTATATTTATATATTATCTTTAAGTATTTTGTTATTTTGTAAATATACATTGAATATTGATACTTGTTCCTTAGTTCGACTATTATGATATATTGACTTGAAGTTGTGGTAGGAACCCATACATTTCAATTTCTAGATCTGCCTCTGCATAATGGGGGTGTTCAAAACCGAAAATCGAACCGAAATCGAAGCTTAATGGCTTATTGGTATCAGGTTAACGGTTTAACGGACGGGGAACGANATATATATATATATATAAAATTTATTTTTATCCATATTACTGCTCTGGACAATTGTATGAAGTGCAAAGTAAATTGTACTAATTGCTTAGAAGTATCTAATTGGTCATTGAGTCTTTTGCCCACTAGAGAGTGGATACCAATAATCAGTATTAAACTATTAACATTTACACTTTAGAAACCCTAGCATCTAAACCCAGCAGCCACCAGCCAACGCTCTCGCCTCTCCTTCTCCCACTCGCATCCCCTCTTGGCTCTCGCCGACTCGCCAACCCTCTCCATCTCCCTCTTGCCATTGTGTTTTTATTTTTTAACAGTTTGTCATCTTCTTAAACAGTAAGAAATCTATTCAAATGACACTGTTGATGTATTATGTTGTGCATTTCTCAATCCCTTACCATCCACTTGAATGTAGTTTGAGAATATAAAAGAAGTATCGTCTGTTTATTTTCTAATAAGGTATTTCGCCCAAAGTAATATTTCATCATGGGTACAGTGATAGATCTCTATAGATTACTTCTCTTTTGATATCCAGTATTTGATTCTAGTAATATGGCCTCATGGTGTAATTTAGCAGATGCAGAAAGAATGAGTAGAACTAGATACTTTTCTTCTTAACAACATGCTCAACTTGTATGGTCGTCTTGGTCAGTTTTCAAAAATGGAAGAACTCTTAACTTCATCGAAGCTGGACCTTATGTAGCCGATATCAGCATCTACAATATCCTGATTAATGCATATGGACGATCAGGATTTATCGAAAAATGAAAGAGATTTTCCAATCACTTTCTGCTAAGAACTTGAAGCCAGATGTGGTTACTTGGACTTCCAGGCTTGGAGCATACTCTAAAATGAAACAGTACCAAAGATGCTTAAAAATATTAGAGGAAATGATTGATGAAGGTTGCTATCCAGATGGTAGAACATCAAAAGTGCTCCTTTCATCTTGTTCGGGTGAAGATTAGATTGAACAGAAGATTAAAGATATTTTGTTGGAACGAAAGTGAAATCAACAAGATTTTTGTGAAAAAAATGTACGATTGCTAAGGCCCTATGGTGGGCGCTTAGTTTTATAGGCCAAACCAATTAAATTTTTATTTGTAGGGCATCAACAATCGATTTGATTTTTTTTTTTTTGGTTTCTCACTCGGTGTCCGGTATCAACATTGGGGCCCGACTAAATCCGGATTCGCGTAGGAAAGTAAAACGCTCTTTAATAAAAGGTGACTTCATACCTAGGGGCTTGAACTCGAGACCTCTGATTAATGATGAAGGAGCGTGAATCTGATTTGATTCACTTACTCAAACGTAAATGACAAAAAAAAAATGACAATATTAAATAAGAAAATCAAATATAAAGCGAAAGAAAAGATAATTCTTATTGTTCAAGATATTTCCTTTTTACTTCTTTGTTGATTCGAGGAAGATACAGAGATATATAGTAAGTTGTAGCATGATTTCTCGGATGGGATATAATATGAGAAATAGGAATTTAAATAGTAAAGCTACCTATGATGTTACCCTCATATCTTGCATGCCCGTTACCCCCATTAATTACATTTTCTACGCATTACTAACTGCTTGGAGAGTTATACTAAATTCTGCTATATTCGGGATTGACTGATTCTTCTCTTTTCCGTATTCGTAAATCTTCTCGTGAAGCCTTTTGCGCTGACTCATAAATGATCACGGTACGAACGATCTCGGAACTAAGTAACTCTCAAATTAACTGATCTCGGACTTAACTTTTCCGTGATCCTTTAATATTCTTGACACATGTTAAGATTCAATGCATCCACGTGATCTACTTTTCACCAATATAAGATCCATTTAAGAAAGAGAATCAAAGTTTGATGAAACCTTATATATGTTTACCCGAAAAATGATTTAGTTGAATTTATACGCAGTTCCGAAGATATGTGGTACAACTTAATACATAATGCTAGGATAAATAAAAGGATGAACATAGGTTAGAGAAAACGTAATCCAGGCGAATCAATTATGAACAATAAATTTAGGATTTAACAAAATAGAATCAATCTAAGAAACTAGAAAGATCACTCTCTTGCTTATAGAGGAAATAATACAGTTTTTGATAGTCTAAGTCTCCAAAAAAGATGCCCTACAAGAATGATAAACAAGCCCTTTTATATTGAAGGGGTTTGGCTCCAAGTATAATAAAATAAACATTCAGTGGGAGACCCATGATAAATCAGCTTTTTCATAATTTTTGCCAAGATTCCTTCTAGTGGGATTACAACGGTTTTTGTCTGAGAGCTCGATCTTGCTTAGAATCCTCGATTCTGGTTCGAGCTTGATTTTGGCTCGAACTCATGATCTTGGTTCGAGCCCGATCATGTTTCGAGCTCT